GTTGGAAGAAATTTCTCCCACTTGCTTTCCAATGCTTCATGTGTATTGTGAGAAGGAGCCAAGTGTGGGTATGGAAGTGATGGGAGTGTCACACAGGCATATGTTTGGACAATTTTTTTTAAAGAGATGGTAGTGGGAGCCTTCCACACTCCAGGGACAAAGAAGAAAGGAATAAGCAGAAATGCGGTTAATAGTCATGAGTGTCAGTGTAATAAGAACTTGTTCAGTGCTATGTTCCCCCAAAGCAGAATGTAAGAGGCTCTGGACTTAATTCTTATTTGCACAAGGGCAGCTTTACTTCACTCTGACAGTGCAAAGGGGCCTTAAAATAATTTACATCTACATTAAGGCTCCTTTACACTGCCAGAGTGGTGTACAGTGATCTTTGTGTAAATAAGAATCAGAACCTCCATACTTAAATTTATGGTTGGTGGTATTTGGAACCACGCATGTCATCTCTGTGTGAAAGCAATATTTATTCTATTTAGATTGGAAACTCTTTAAAGCAGGGACCTTGTTTCATACATCTCTAAAGCTCTATGTGCCCTTTTGATGCTATATAAAATCAACTTCATTTATTAAAAGCATGCATCCAAGTTCCTAGGCACTTATAAAAATGTGAAATCACAAAGAGTAAATATTCTTACTACAAAAATCTCTACTACCTACACCACTTTGCATCCCTCTCAAAAAGCACACTAAGCCCTTAAAACAAATGTAAACAAAGATAAATAACATTGAACAAAACATTAGGGTATTGCTTCCATAATGGATCAGGCAGTCCAATTGTGCAACATACGTGGCAGTTTTAGTGTTCTCAACTATATAACTAAATGCTGCTTTATGAGATGAAGAGCATGCTTCATTACACAGTGCCTCTTTAATGAATGCATTTCATTATGTAGTGTCTATAATTTTATTATTTGATAAATGTGAACGAAGATGATTTATGCCTTCCACAGCCCCTTTTAGAAAAAAAACAGAGCACAATGCTTATATATTTTTCATTTCAAGATTAGTTTCTTCTCTCACAAGAACACAGTTTCACAAGACCAAATAAATTGCTGTTTTAATCAAAATGTCAAATTATCCAGTTCTAATAACCTTTTAAAAACTGACTCAGTAATATCATGATGTTCCTAATTCTACTGAAGTCTTCATAGATGGTCTAGCATACCGTTTTTTTGTCACTGTGTATTTGCATGCAGAATTTCAGAAGTATGAGATATTTTCAGTAGCCCATGTGACATGAATGCAGGTCTCAATGGACAAGTGACCATGTCACAAAAGCACTAGCACAAATGGCAATAACACTCTTGGAAGCAATCACAGCAGGCTCCCAAAAGAATGAATTGGTATAGAGACAGAACTGTGACCTGACCTCTACAGCTGGTTCTTCTAGTTCCAGATTAAGACAGATTGGTCGGGCAGCATGGGGAACCCTTGCATTTCTACTGCATGCATTATACCTGTCTGTAAATAAACAGACTTCCGTCTTTGGGATTGGTACCTGTCAAACTGGCACCTTTCATGAATCAATGAAAAATATTTCTCTTTCTCAGATCCTCAATTGCTGTAAATGCATAAGATCAGAGTCAAAATGTGATGCACCAAATGTACTGCAGAAAAAACAAAGGCTGAAGTAATAGATGGGGCATTTGAGCATCTGAAAGCTTAGTGTTTTATGCCTGTTTTCCCCTGCCTATGTAGAAATACAATGTTACAGTGACCTCTGCAGGATTTCCACAAGCATTTGACTATGTAGAATACTTTCTCTGCAGTTTCAAATATGGTCTCTTAAAAAAAGTTAACTTGCTTTATCTTTCATGCTTCTTAATTTCTGCCCATCTGTTCTTCTGGAATCAAAACCTCAGCCTATGAAAAATTAATTAGTAATTGGCTGAGCCAAAAAGAGAGAAAAATAGTACCTGTAAACACACAGCTGGGGCAAGTTCTCTTGATGCACTTGTGTTAGGCCTCAATCCAGCAAACTACTTAAGCACATGCTAAATGCTTTCCTGATTTAGGGCCATAATGAGGGATGTAGGTGTGGCACTGAAAAACATATACCATCAGCTCTAACTTTTTCCTAGTGGGTGCTGTGGCACAAAATTCCAAGGACCTGGAGTCTCTTTAGCCCACCCCAGACTGGAGTGTTCCTTTTTATAATATGCCCCCTTTGCTTCTTTTATAGCTAGAGGCTGAATTTCCCTGCTAAAGTCAGTGTATTCGTTCCACTAAATTCAATTGGAACTAGATCAGGCCAGTGGCGAGGAATATTCTAGACAGAACGACACCTGAATAGCAAAAATAAAAAGTTACTGTATATGTAGTTTCCTATTTATTTGAGGTTTCATTACAACATACAAAAGGAAGAGTGTTATCCTTAGAAGGGAAAGTTTACCAGTGCTATTTTCTTGGCGATTAGAAAAAAATAAATGTAGTCCTCGTGAAAGTAATGGGAACACTATTGCCCCAACAATCTATTTTTCCCCTCAGCAAAAGAATTCCCTCCAATGTTGACCTTGTGGGCAAAGTTTGATCTTACACATGGTTTTCTACCCCATCTCCAAGCCACTGGCTGGATAAGGTTCAGGCCAAAATTCAGTCTTCCAATATTACAAGCTTGTATCACTCTTCTCCTGCATATCAATTTATTTTATATTTCTCTTATGATAGATTTTCTGTTACTCTTGTATCCACATCAGCATTTTTGTCTTTTAATATGCTTTGTTAAAAAGACCCACAACATTTTACTCCTAAAGTTTATTATTCATTTTTTATTGTAAATTTGATTTATAATGGAAAACTTAGTGAAGTGTTACAATTCGACTGGTGATCATTTAAAAAAAGTTATTTCTTTGTCCGTGTTACTTCCAATGCCTTATATTATTAAAAACTAGCAGCCAAGATTTCCAGAAGTGTTCAGTGATTCTGGGTGTCCAACTTGAGACACCTGAAAGGGACCTGATTTTCAGAGCGTACTGAGAATCAACACTGTAAAGAAGTGTAGATGTTCTTTCCATTATATTGCTTGGGCCCCATCCTAAATTCCCTCTAAGCTGCGCAGATGCCTATTAAGCCCGTGCAGGGGCTCAGGGCTGCACCGGGGAGAGGGGCCCCTCCCCGCCTGCCCCAGCGCAGATGTACTGCGGCTGGCCGGGGGAGAGGCGCCCCTCCTCACCTGCCCCAGCGCAGACCTGCCTCTGGTGGGGGAGAGGAGCGCCTCCCTGCCAGCCTGGCCCAGGCCCACTGGAGCTGCCGGGGAGAGGAGCTCTTCCCTCGGCCCAGCCCAGCCAGAGCTGCCACAGCGAGGCACCTCTCCCCGTACACCAAGCTGTTGTGGCGAGAGAGGGCTGGGGAGAGTCCTCTCTCCACACTGCAGCCCCTGCATCCTAAACCCCTCATCCCCAGTCCTGAGCCCACCCCTCCCGCATCCCAAACCCCTCATCCCCGGTCCCACCCCAGACCCACACCCCCTGCACCCCACCCCCCTCCCCCCCCCCCCTGCCCCCCCCCCCACACCCCAACCTCCTCCTCCCCAGCCCCACCCCAGAGCTTTCCCCCCCAGCCAGCGCCCTCATCCCCCCGCACCCTAACCCTCTGCCCCAGCCCTGAGACCCCTTCTACTCTCCAAGCCCATCGGCCCCACCCCCAGTACATGAATTTTGTTATGTGCACCAATATGAAGGTGATGTGTCACAAATCACCTCCATATTGGTGCACATAATAAAATTCATTCCACACATGGATGTAAAAAATTAGAGGGAACACTGGCCCCACATCTTTGTACCTTAACTACTAGGGGTGTGCACAGGAATTTAAATTTGGCCGCTTTTGGAGGGGCACATTAAACACACACAAATGAAAGGTTCACGTGACACCTCCCCGCCCCCAATTTCTCGGGATGCCTCTGTCAGGGATGCCCAGCAGCGAGGAGGCAGCGGTTCCCCTGGGCAGCAGCATTCCCTGTGTCCCTGCAGTCTGGGGTGGGAGGAAGCAGCAGGGTGGCTGGCTGCTGACTAAGCTCTTCCTTCCCGGATCCCTACAGCTGCTGCTTCTCCTTCCCTGCTGCTGGAGTCCCAGAGCTTCTACCTGCTCTGAAGACCCCCCACTGAGGTGAGTCAAGGGGTGAAGGCAAAGGCAACCCGTTGGACTCCAGCAACAGGGACGGAGAAGCAGCTGGCTGCAGATTATAGGGATGGGGGAAGAAACTCAGGCAGCAGCCAGATGCCCTGCTGCTTCCTCCCTCCTCGGGCTGTGGGGAGACAGATTTTTTTTGGGATGCCCCTGCCTGCCCCCCCCCTTGTGCACACCCTTGTTAACTACAGAATTAGTCCTATTGATGTCAGTGGGAGACTGAGACAGCAAAGTGCAATTCAACATGGGTAGTAAAGGTGGCAGAACAGGGATATTATTTTTGCAGTTTAACAGCCAAATTGTTCTAGTCATTGTCCACATAGGGGGTGCAGAGCTCACCACTCAAGGTGGCACATCTGGAGGGAGGATGCCGTTCCTTCCTTGATTTCCACAGTCCACATGGGGGCACACAAAGCTGTGCTATCCAGTAAGCTTGCTTCCCACACGCTGTGCCTCACGCAGGACTATGGCAGACAGTAGACACCAGGTCCCTGGCGTCGTCATTGCCAAACCTGGACAGTGAGCTAGCAGGGAGGGAAGTATTTAAATCCAACCAGATAACTCTTTTAATGGCTTTTATTTAAAAATCATGAAACAGCACAGACATCAGTAGTTTGGGACTCTTATTTTTAAAAAAAAAAAATTTGTTAAAAAGGCCATTACACTTTGGGGCTGATCTTCCTTATAGTGTTCCTTTCACTAATACTATTATCAGGTGGCCAGACACTATAGTGACAGGCAGCCCTATAAAAGCCTAGAGACATGTGATATTTGATAGGGCATTACATGAACTTAAATGAGTGGGTATCTTCCATCTCATACTGTTTAATTTTTTACTTGGTTATTAGTGTGTAACTTACCATTCAGTATTGCAAAGTAGACATCCAGTAATATCTCATGTCGAGTTGGTGTTTTTGTGCCACAGATTTCATTTCCATTTTTTATGACTTCAGAATGTAGTATCCACCATGCACCCGAACCTTCCTACAAAGGATATACTGAAGTTTACCTTGGTAGGATTTATGGTATCCACCATTATCATTCTGCTACAGAGGACTGATTCAAAACCCACTGAAATCAACAGGAGCCTTTCCATTGACTGCAATAGGCTTTGGATCTGACAGTTGGCAATATTTTTGGCCTGATTCTTCAAACTTTTACTCATGTAAGTTATCCTTATGTGGACTATTCACATGAGTAAGTATTTGCAGGATTAGGCTGTTTGATTATAAATCAATTCAAGGGTTGGTGAAAGAAACATGAGTACTGAAAGTTACAGTCCTCACTCTGAAGGCCCCAGCATAAGCACTACTGACAATTTTCCCTTGTGTTTGCCAACCAGCAAGTACGTCCTAGAAAGCTGAAGTGATTAATGTACAGTAACTATAATAGGAACCTATCCCACCCACCCCCCAAAAAAGCAGCTTATGCAGCCGCTGTTCTTTAGAAGTTACACAGGCCTCATTGATAATACCATGCAGAGGCTACTTCTGCTTCAGAGAGGATACTGAGCCCTGGTAGTAGCACCTGAATGTCAATTTAGACAATATATGGTGCGGTAGAATCGGCTTCCACAGCACTCTTCTGTGGCCTGCCATGGCACCACTCATTCCCACCTCAGTTTTCCTCCTGGTCCTCAGTCTTCCTTGGTTTGGTATGAGACCCCGGTCAGTTCTGGTTCCAAGACAGCATCATATATTCCAGTCCTTAGCTGGCTATAGCCCTTCTACACAGGGTCTGTCTTCTCAAGTTAATACGTATCAGTGTTCCCTGATCTCAGCATCCACTGTCAGGGTCCTGATATCAGAATCAAACAATAGTCCCAAAGGAAACATAAAAAAGCATCTTCCCTCATCTTCCACCCCACTTTCTCATCTAGTGCTCAGCCTCAGGACTTTGTCCTTGGAAACCTAGCATTTACCCAAACCGCTGACCCTCTAGGCCTCCTCCCTGGAGTCCTTTGTACATTTTGGTGCTCCACTTTTGGACCTTTATTCCCCTCTTCCACCACGCCATGTGCCTGGGGTGCTGGCTTTCTCCAGGGCCTGCAACTGGATCTTCCTTCTCTCCTGCCACTTTATCCCTTCAGGATCAGCCTTAAAAGAGCCTCCCTCCTGTAGATCCTCTCCCTAACTAACCTCTCCCCGCCCTTTATGGAAATCATCTGACTCCACCCCAGCTGGGTAGATAATTGAACCAAGCCATCTGATCCCCAGCACATCAGGATCAATTGTGGGGGTAGCTGTCCACCACAGGCAAAGCTGTGCCTGACTCTCTTTAAAGGGCCAGCCAATGACACACAGACACTTATGACCCTTAAGACCTACTTCCTCTCCCCTAAAAAAAAATGGTGACTGGGGAGAAGGGGAGGAACTGCTACACCATGGGGGAAGGGATAAAATGGGGCACAGCTGGGGCCACCCCGCCCTCCAGCATGCTCGTGGACCCAGAACTGTGTAGGGGAGACTCTGCCCCACAAACTCTGGGGTCATGAAGACCCAGGTGGTGCCTTGCCTCTCCCCTCCACATGGCCATGGGGGGAAACTGCAGAGGATCCAGCCACAGACTCCAGCTAGTAAGAACAGAAGCAGCCAAAGCAGGGACCTTTTTCTCCTCTGGACATTTCAGTCAAAACTGAAGAAAGGTCTGACTTTCTCTGCCCTGTGCTGATTTGTTTATTCCAACCCTCCCTCTCTGATCTGTCTCTTCACCTAAGCTTCACTCAACATATACCTCTCTTCTCCCCTCCCCTAACTGCCTCACCCTGCTTCCCTTGCCTTCCCATTTAACTGATTCCCTCCTACCTAACCCCTCCCCCCAAAAATATCATGGAACTAACACAATGTTTGTTGTCATATCGTTCACTGGGCTGGAGTCTCATACCCCTCCCCTAAGCCTGCATCTTTCTTGTCTATTTAGATTGTAAGCTCTTCTGGGCAGGGACTGTCTGCTACTCCCTATTTGTACAGTGCCTAGCACATTCTAGGTTATCCCTACCATAACAAACATATAAATAAACATAAAAAACAACAACAGCAGCTGCCTTTTGAGTGCAGTTCCCAGTCACCAGTTCTTGAGAAGAGGGAGAGAAGGTACATAAATTGCTGCTATTTTTTAAAGTGTCTCAGGAGCTGGTTTGGACCCAACCTCTCTACTGTTGAGGCAGCAGAGAGCATTTCTGTAGCTCCCATGGGTGGTGCAGAGCAAGACAGATTGTGGAGTATTTGAGATAGGCTCCTTCCCTTCCTGCCCCCACCCCCAAGCAGTTCCACATTGCTCTGCCATGCAGCCTCAGGATTCCTAGCCTCTCCAGCAGTGACCTGCTTCCTGAATAAGTTGGCCTGTTGGGAAGCCAGACTGCTTGACTCGTCTCTTTCCCAGCCTGTTCCACAGCTTCAGAGTTCCTATTCTCTGCAGTAGTCTGAACTGTTTTCTGAGCAAGACAACCCACCATGAACCCAGCCCACTCAGCTCCAAGGTCCTACATAAGTATGTACCCAGCACAACTATTTTTGAGTGCAGCCCATCTCCTCAGTCTTCCCCCTCCCCGCCTCCCCACCCCCCAAGAAAAATCTTGTCTCTTTTCCGTCCTTCAGCCTATGACCTTTCCTCTGTTTTCACTCCTTCCCCAATGTCAGGAGTTAGGTTTATAAAAAGGAAAGGGAAAAATTGCTTAAAGCCATGGCCAGGAGGATGTGTTAACTGCTCCTTCTCTTCAGTATTTCTACCTAAAACTAGGCATGATTAACCACAGATACCACAGCTATGGTCTGGCCTAAGGTCAGACAGCTATTGGAGATGGTTGTAATAGCAACCATTGCATCGGAGAGTTGATAAATGCACTCAGAGAAGGCATGCTCCATAGATCCATAATCATTTTGGATCTGATTTTTGGAGAGGCCCTCATAAAACAAGAAATCCCTCTTAGCTGTGGGCCTCACAGGATGTAAGTTTCTGCTCTATGAGACAGCCCTTAGTTTTTAAGAGGGCCCTTTCTAAGGCCTCTTCTGACCATGCTGCCAGCTAGTTTATCACTTATTTTTAACAGCAATTAAAAATGGAACAAAATAATATTTTTCAGCCATAGAGCACCTTTAATCCAAAGATCATAACACGCTTTGATTATTGAAGACTTGCAATTCCCCTGAGAGGTAGGTAGCTTGTATTGTGCCCATTTTATAGATGTGTAAGGTGACTTATCCAAGGTCACAGTGAATTAGTGGAAGAGACAGGCTGAGAATCCTGACTCCAAGTCTCCCTGCTCTAATCACATAAACCACACTGCCTCTGCATTTCTCATAATTAGTGAACACTGGTAAACTTTAACCCACTGACTAAATTACACCTGATTCAGTATTTGAAACACTTCTGCAGAGAATAACAGCTTATGCATATCAACTATTACTTTGAGAGTTGCATATGCACTGTGTCTTAGTATTATTTTATATATATATATAGAGCTATACCTATCTCATAGAGCTGGAAGGGGCCCTGAAAGGTCATTAAGTCCAGCCCCTGACCTTCACTAGCAGAACCAAGTACTGATTTTTTGCCCCAGATCCCTAAGCGGCCCCCTCAAGGATTGAACTCACAATCCTGGGTTTAGCAGGCCAATGCTCAAACTACTGAGCTATCCCTCCCTCCAGAAGCAACTGAGATATCAAGCAACTGAGATGTTATGGCCTGAAGCAACTGAGATGTCACTTATGATTAACCATAAGCTTAATTACAGTAGGTGAGAGACTGAAAATAAGTTTTTAATCAGATTTTACACAAAACATTTTTGTACAGCAAGTCAACTTACATCTGTTGCATATTCCACAGTTGTTAGGGGAATCCATAAAGTACCTAAAAGTTTGTCCCATATCAAGCCTTTCTTCCACAGCTCCACCACGATGCCCTTTTCAACATCACTGATTTCACTGCAAATAAACAAATTTAAAAAACAACAACAACAACAACAAAAACAGGTATTGTGAGTTGGGACAGCAAACCTGAAAATCTGAAAATGCAATCTTAATGGTAGTTTTACTACTGTTCCACCATAATACTCTGAATCACTGCTTTCTAACCACACACAATTATCATCATTAATATACAACAGAACCTTACTTTTACAAACACCAATCTTACAAATGACCTGTTATATGAATGCTTTCTCCTGACCAAAAATAAAATAAAATCACAAACAAAAGTGATGTCAATAAAGAACACGTTGATATCACTTCACATTCTGATAACTTCAATTAGAAATTTTTTGCAGTGCTTTCGAAGGGAAAGAAAAAAGCAGTGCAGTACACCATACTGCAACCTATGCCCTGAACTTACTATACTTCTGAGATGTTCAATTTTGTGAACTTTTTGATTTTATGAACAATCTCCAATTAGATAATAAAATATGGGTTCTACTGTGAAATATGAAGTAACTGGCACTGATATGAACATAACCTCCATGATCCAAGTCAATAATGCACTTGAGTACTAACGTTCAGGCTCTTGACTGATTTATTTCACAGCTCCATACTTTGTGTGTCAGAAAGTCTGCCAGGAGTGGGGCAGCAGACTGGTACCAGCAGCCAATATTCCTGCTTCGCTGGAAGACCTAGAGCCATCTGACCTAGCCCAGAGAAAAAGGTAGGTGTAAGCGGAAGATGCACTGATTCAGACCAGTGTTGCTGCTCTGACCTTCCAATGGATTTTGAAGCTGCCCTCCCCAGGAGGAATCCCAGGGCCAGTGTGGTATAATGAATCATACACCCAACCTCTAGTGCAGCTGCTCACATAGGTACAGGACTTACCTGTGTATCTAGCCCTTAGTTAGTTAGTTGGCTCTCCAAAGAGTAGTTAAATATATTTTAATAATCTAAGGCAAGGGTCAGCAACCTTTCACAAGTGGTGCCGAGTCTTCATTTATTCACTCGAATTTAAGGTTTTGCGTGCCAGTAATACATTTTAACATTTTTAGAAGGTCTCTTTCTAGAAGTCTATAATATATAACTAAATTATTGTTGTATGTAAAGTAAATAAGGTTTTTAAAATGTTTAAGAAGCTTCATTTAAAATTAAATTAAAATGCAGAGCTCCCTGGACTGGTGGTCAGGACCCAGGCAGTGTGAGTGACACTGAAAATCAGCTCGCGTGCCGCCTTCGGCACGCGTGCCATAGGTTGCCTACCCTGATCTAAGGAAATACCTGCTCAATTACACACTTGTACAGTAACTTAATTCTAAGCCTCCTTACAACCCATATTCTAGTTATTTACTATTTTTAAATATTGGTAGGAAACAGCACTGTAGTGCTTCACAAAAAACTAACTTTTCAACTTGATAGCATCCCTGAGACATAGCTAGAGAAACAGATTGAAAGGGCCAAGCTGGGCTCTCGTCCAAATTGAAAGAGCTATTTGTAAACAAATCTGTGATTAGAAACTAACAGTTCCTAGGTTACCGAGGAGTGAATCTGAAAACATTACCCTTTAGTTATATGAGGGGGCTGGTTAGAGCCCAATTGTCCATTATCATTGGGGTGAGGAGGAGGATCTTTTGGGTTAGCTCCATCTGTGACTTTTTGGGGGGGTACTTGACAAGACACTGGCAAGATTCCTTACAACAGAACCATACATACATGAATAATTAATCAGCCCAGGTATTTAGTAATCACAAAACACAAGGATAAAAATAAATAAAACTTTCTGAAATGCAGAAGTGATCATAGCAGAGATTTTGCATGGCTGCTGGTAAAGCTACACCTGCATCATGGTGTCAGAAAGTGAGCTGGCCTTTAAGGATTATGGCCTTAATTCCACCTGTGCTCAGATATTTGACTCCTAGGAGATGGGTTTGAGGCCAGGGCTAAGAACCGCCATACTGGGTCAGACCGAAGGTCCATGTAGCCTATTATGATGCATGGCTAGAAAGGGTTAAACATCCTGCAAAATAAATAACCCTCAAAAGACACGTGGGGAGATAATGTTTGTGTTTTTGTGTATTTACTTATGTATGAGTAGGGTCAACAATGTAATCAACAGTCCCTGTCTATCCTATATTCTGATATTTAAATGAATTGTAAACATGGGATATCTCGGTATTCATGTCTCTTTGAAATGTAGTGTGAATGGTGGAGGAACAAGCAAATGGCCTTATTTTAATTCTATAACTAAGTACCGGTGATGGACCTCCTTCAAAGTCATCCTAATTACCTTTTGTTCCCTGAGGACAAAAGACAAAAGACATGAAATTGTATAAAAGATCCTTGGGTCCTGATTCTGTCATCTCAGATCTGCTTAGGCTTCATCAGGGGAAGTTGGAGTCACAAGACTGAGGTCCCGGTTATGCTGGTAGGCCCTGAATATGATATTTGGACATTGGACTATAACCTATGAACTATTTCTGAAAGAACTCTTTGCAACTACAAAGCTCACCATCTCTGCTATGAATCTTCACCTAAATGAATTGAACTCATGTCTGTATGTACATTGATCTTTTAACCATACTCTCTCTCTCTTTTTTTTAAATAAATTGTAGTTTAGTTAATCAGAATTGGCTGTAGCGTCTATTTGGGTAAGATCTGAAACATTCGTTAACCTGGGAGGTAATGTGTCCAATCCTTTGGGATTGGTAGAACCTTTTCTTTTATTTGATGAAATAAGATTTACAGAAATTTTCGTCATATTTAACGTGGGCATCTGGATGGAGGCCTGAGGGCGGATCACTTTAAGGGAACTGTGTTGTTTGGACTTCTGAGTAACCAGTAAGGTAATAAGGAAGCTGTTTTATGCTGGCTTGGTAAATCTAAGGGCTTGTCTACACTTACCGGAGGGTCCGGCGGCAGGCAATCGGTTTTCTGGGATCGACTTATCGCGTCTAGTGAAGACGCGATAAAATCGATCCCTGATCGCTCTGCCGTCGACTCCGGAAATCCACCGCGGCAAGAGGCGGCAGCGGAGTCGACGGCAGCGTGGCAGCGGTCGACTTTCCCCCGTCCTCACAGCCAGGTAAGTCGACCTAAAATACGCAACTTCAGCTACGGTATTCACGTAGCTGAAGTTGCGTATCTTAGGTCGGACCCCCCGCTGTAGTGTAGACCTAGCCTCTGTTTAAGCAGAGTCAGGATGAGCTCTACCCTGACATCTGGTGGTGAATTATGGCGAGTGTGGAAAAGAACTTCAGGGGCTGATCTTGTTTGCATAGGCACACCCACCCTGCCTAGCATGAGCCCACAGCAGCCCCAAATGGTCACTTTGGCTGCTGTGGGATCCCCAGTTTCTCTGTTACTGGGGCAGGAGTAATAAAGTGTTGTTACCCTGATTATGTGAATCAAGGACAATGAAACTGTTTTATGACAGAGGGTCTCACCATCACCTAAGTAGCACTCGCTAGACAAGGGACATGGGTTCCAAAATCCAGTGAATTGAGAGAGGTGGGGGACAGGTATTTGTACCTGATGGTATGGTCTGCTCTTGAGGGTCTGAAACATCAATTGCACCATTTTCTCTCTCTACTGTTGAATAGCAGAGCTAATTTTGATTCTATTAAGAGTCTAGTTACAGGCTGCTATGCTGAATTCATTTTGGGCCAATGGTGTACCAGCACTGGGGCTCCCCTACTACAAGCTGAAATCACTGAGTACTGTGTTATCTAGTGGGGGAGCCTGAAGATTTATTGCTAAGTGGCTGGCAGAGCATTGCAGTTTGCAGGACAGTTGGCGTGGCCCACGGGATGATGAGTGGAGCGGAGGGGAGCAGTTTGTGGGATGGCTGGAGTGGCTCATGGGACAGCTGGAGGAAAGGAGCGGCTGGTGGAGTGGAGCAGCTCGTGGTGAAGGCTGCAGCAGAACCCCATGGAGAGGCGGGGCAGTCGGCCTCAGACCACGTAAGGTGCCCCTTAATACCCCATGTGCCCCTTTCTTTCCCCCCCATTTCCACCCAGGCTGGGGGTGGGGGTAAGACTCTGCAGATAAACTTTTGAACTCTGGGGCTGCACTGACAGGGACAGAGACTTTTGGGTGATTCTTGGGTTGCTGGACTCAAGAGACTTTTGGGGGTTTGGACTTTTGGGACTTTGGGGGTGGCTCTTTCGCTCATGGATTGTGTTATGAATCCTGTTTGTGATGTTTTCCCAATTTAATGCTGATGTCGTTTACCTCATGTTATTAAACATTTTCTGCTACTCTCAGACTCCGTGCTTGCGAGAGGGGAAGTATTGCCTCTTAGAGGTGCCCAGGGGGTGGTATGTAATTGTCCCTGGTCACTGGGTGGGGGCTCAAGCCAGTTTTGCATTGCGTTATTGAAACGGAACCCCTAGATACAGAACGCGGCCCTTGTTGCTGCCAACTCAGATGGGCAGAAGGGTTACATAAGTATTGGAATAGCCACGAGCTTTTTGGGTGCTGCCAATAGCTGCCCCATTCTTTGCAGTTCACCCTAATTGAGTGACCACAGTTGGCCCCCATTAGGATCCTGGTCACACCTAGTATCCTGTCTTTCGACAGTGGCCAATGCCAGGTGCCCCAGAGGGAATGAACAGAACAGGTAATCATCAAGTGACCTTGTTGCCCATTCCCAGCTTCTGGCAAACAGAGGCTAGGGACACCATCCCTGCCCATCCTGGCTAATAGCCATTGATGGACCTATCCTCCATGAACTTATCTAGTTCTTTTTTGAACCTTGTTGTAGTCTTGGTCTTCACAACTTCCTCTGGCAAGGAGTTTCATAGGTTGACTGTGCATTGTGTGAAAAAATACTTCCTTTTGTTCGTTTTAAACCTGCTGCCTATTAATTTCATTTGGTGACCCCTAGTTCTTGTGTTATGAGATGATAACCTGTAGGTCACCTGCTTCCTGGATGAAAGGCTAACACACAGTAACAATTTATATCAGATGAAAGGACTGTCTGGAGTTACCTGCAGTGAAGGGCAGATTTAAGA